CAATCCACTCACCTCAGCCTCCCAAAGGCGCGGGATTACAGGCTGAGCCCCCGAGCCTGGTTACATTTTTTTAAATTGTGAAAGAACTATTTATATATTCCCTACTGCGTATTTTGACACTATTCTTTGATAAGATTTGTGTTGTGAAGTGAGTTGAGGCTGAACTATACTGATTCTAATCATTTTGAGGGAGACAACATGTAAGTTGACTCAGCCGTTTAGTCTGAGATTGTAGTGAGCTTTCTGGAGACTACATCCCATGTTATGACCTCATTAGTTTATTACCTCTGTGCCCTAAGGAGTTAAACTCCCATCTACAGATTTTAAGAAGCATAACTGAGTTATTGTGTCTGGAGAAGTATTGATTCTAGAAAATTTGCATCTCCAAGGATAATTTAAAGGTCCACAGTGACCAAGTAAATGCCTTTGTAATAATACCAAATAAGTATGTTGTACCATTGAATGATCAGAGATGCTGTGATTCTGACTTCAAAACAACTTGGAAACTATACACTTACTTTAGACACAAAATATGCTATTATCAAACAGCTTGGGTAGTTTCTGCTATGATTCAAGACCCCTGTGCATATTGCATTTTTCAAAACATGTACTCATACACACTGACACATACATGTGTGCGTGTGTGTGTGTGTGTGTGTGTGTCTGTGTTGGGCTGTGACAGAAAATATATATGATTTCAAAAGTGTCTAAAAGCTGGTGTTGCAGAGAACTCATCCTGGCAGGGGACCTTTATGGACACTGATCACATTCAATTACCCAGGAGGAGTTCTTATCCTAAGCATCACTGGTCCACAATCAGAATTCAATGGTTTGTTTTGTTTTGTTTTGTTTTACGATGAGATTATTATGTTTGAAATCAGAGATTCCCAAATGTTTGTGTCTGCTTGACTTTCTTTTTCTGTCACTACGTGTCACTTCCCAAGTTTTATAAATAGGATTTTATCCCCCTATTTTCCCTTTTTTATGTTTATATCCTCTTTGGTATCTCAAAAGAATCAAACATTCATTTTGGATGATTTCTGTTCTTCCTGTATAGTTTGAATGCATCTGCTCAGGATCTTAGAAGGAAGTTTAATAGTCTTCATTATCTTTTAAGTTGTCAAGCATCTAAGAAGCTATTTGTTTTCTTGGGTTTTTGTTCTGTTTGCAATCAAGATCTTCTTTCGCAATTCCTGGGTTACAGTCACATGTTTCAAAAACCTAAGCTTTCAGCAATCAGAGTTAGCGGAGAGGCCTAGCATTGAATTTTTCAGTTATATTCTGGTATCATATTTTTAATTTTCATTATAATAGGTAACTCTAAGCAATATCAAAAATTGAATAAATATACTTTTGAAATCAAAATGTAATGTTAATGAAATATATTCTAACACTTCTCTCCTTAATACTTGATTATAATTCAATCATTGCTTAAATATGGCCTTAGATCTATCTTTATGCTGGATTTAGAAAGCTCAGAATATATTTGACTCTTGTAATTTAGAAATAAATATGTTCTAAGATTTGTGTTTAGCTTTAAAACATAAAATCAATTTGCTATTAAAAGTTTTTGGGCAACCCCCTCGGGTCCCCTCCCACTCTCCTCTCAATAAACCCTATTTTCTAAAAGCAACAACAGCAACAACAAAAGTTTTCCCGTTTTTTCCCCTCAACAACCAGGTCCGCCTATTCAAGTACCAGCTAAAATCTATTCATTGACTCTCCTTAGAGCCTTTGCTCTAACAGAAACTCTAATTGTTTTTGTAGTAAGTATCTAGTTCCACAATAATGTTGTATAACAACCTCTAAGCATCGCCGAAATGTTAGATAAGGGATTATTGCTTGGCTGGGTGGCTCTGATGATTATGGATGGTCATGGTTACAAACCTAGGGCTGGTTGGCTATTGGCTGATCCAGGCTGGTTTCATCTGGGCCACCTTAGGCAACTCAGCTGTGTTCCACGTGTCCCTCATTCGCCAGCAGATAGCCTAGACAGGTTCCCATGGTGACAGCAGAGAGAACAATTCCCAATGCATACTAAG